GGAAGGAGAAACTTGAATGGTATTAGAGTTGAAAAGCCTATTGGATACACCGGGTAGGGATCCATGGTTATGTCATTGAGATCATTTCAAGTTTTAGTTGCATTTACCAATTCTAGTTTTTGAACTTAAATTGCAGTTTCAGGACACTAATGAAGGAAACGGTGAATTTAAACTGTGGTAAAATCATGCTTCTTGCTAGCAAGTGAGAAAATGACTGAAAATGAAGGTCAGGTTTGGCATTGGTTTAAAATGGACAGTTTTGCTACTCATGGCAATAAGCGTATGGCAATAGTTTCTCAGAGGGTTATCCACAGTCACTGTTAGAGTGAACCAATACCTTTATGAACATGCGCAGTTGATCTGTTGCTCTCATGCAAAATGGTAGACAACTAGTCAATCTCTGTTTTGAGTGTGTATTGTAGGTAGAAGCAAGGACCAAGGCTTCTGTTTTCTTGTAGAACATTGCCTGGCACATAGGAAGTTCTCAATATGTATTTAGTGGACAATTGAATCTATGTAAGTTGGAAGAAAAGTGAAGGACAACTCAGAACCTCAGTTATGAGGGAGGGAGTGCAGACTTTATCCTGATTTTGTTGGACTGATGTTGACTTTGTATGTGTGTGTGACTGGTACCCTTTGTCAGGCGTATCAAACTGGCAATCAGGCAGTATAGACAGTGAGTGAGGATTGCTGGCATACAAAGCACACACACACACACACGCACACACACACTCACACACACACACCCCACTTTTGTGACTCTCCCCACAGTGTTCCATAGTTACTTGCTAAGTAACTGAATAACATGTATATTTTCATACAAACAGCATCATGATCAACATTATAAATAAACTAAGGAAGACTTTGATTGCTGCCTTTGCTTTTGATTTGTATTCATATTCGGTGCCTCAGAATATTTTAAATGGACTCTGGGCTCTAGAGTGGTGGACCAAATGTAGAATGACCACTACAAATATAAAATGAGGCCAGACTACACATTTTATGAGTTCTGATTTTTGAGAGAGAACAATTTTCTGTCTGTCATTCTTGAGTGGTAGCAGTAAAAAGTTAGCTAAGAGAAGCAATGATGGGTTCATGGCTGTGGGTACTTCCTGTCTGAGGCCTTTTAGCAACTAGAGGGATTTTGGTTTTATTGCAGTGTATCAATACAAAGGAGCATTTAACAAAACTTGCTACTTGCTAGCTAATGGACATTGGGTACTATTGAACTTCTCTGGACCTTTCTTTCTAAATCTCAAAATAGAAGGTAACTATTATTCCATAGGACTAAGTGAGATGTATGTAAAGTGCAGTTCATGGTTTGGTTTACAGTAGGTGCATAATCATGATTAGTTTTACTTTTACCATAGTAGCAGTGATATCACTCTTAATATCACAAGAACGAAAGTACGAAAGCGAAATTTATTAGAATATAGTACATGTATGATGTCATAGAGGAAAAAAGACTAATCCATCAAAAAATTATTTTATTTGATTAGGTTAAATTTTTCGCTCATGTAATTTCTACAATTACATAAGGAGAGCAAGTAAAATTATCCCCATTTTACAGTAAAAAAAACAGAGGCTTAGAGAAGTTATGTAGTATAACCAAAGCCGACACTAATAAGTAGCTGAGCTGTGATAGGAACACCAGGGTTTGTTGTACGGAAGAATATGTTATTTTCTCTCAATCTCGTGCTGCGTGAAACAAGCTTTTAATTATAGTGATGCCAAAAAAAAAAAAAAAAAAAAAGGTTATCAATAACATGAAAAAGGAAGAAGGTTCTGGAAAGCTCCCAAATGTGGAAAGAGAAAAGTCAAAGATCTTGCTTAGGACACGGAACAACAGCACCAAACTCGCTGCCTTTGGCCAAGACCTCAGGCAATGAGGGCAGATCTTTGCTTTGCCAAAACAAGCAAAAGCAGGTTCTTTCAGCATCACTACCAGAAGGGAACACATGGACAAATGGAATTGGGTAGGAGGCATAGCTGTTTATCATCATGCTTCCAAGATAATTTTTCCCTCCTAATGACAAAGCAAATTCACATATGTGCCCTCAAAGTTTTTTTTTAATATAAGCATTTGCTTTATTTCTAACAGAATAAATAAAATTAGTTTTGAAAGTCCTATTCCATAGCCCTGAAGCTTTTTTAAGCTTTTTTATAGGCAAAGGCTTACCTAGAGTCTGTATATATAAATGAGAGCAAGAAACGAGAGTAAAACTAAATTATAGCATGAGGTTAGGGAGAAATTTGAAAACTGAAATGAGTTTGTATGGGAGGTCAGGTGTCCTGGCCACTTCGAGGCCATCCATTCTCCTATTTTTTCTTCTCTGAAGGACTGACTTAAACTTGAATCAGAGTGTATTTCAGCCCTTTGAAATAAAATAATAAAATTAATGGAAGCTACTAAAGGAAAGCAGAGAAGCACTCATTTTTTAAAAATTATATGACCAACTCTCAGAGCCAAAAGTAAGAGTCATCATTTCCATATTCAGATGGTAGATATATTTTTGGAGCTCAGAACGAGTATGACATTGAGTCCTAGCTAACTATGTAATTAATGAAAGCCATTGATTAAACTGCTAATATATCAGAGCTGATGTTCTCTTTTTAACAAGAAACATAACACTCTGAAGGAAAAGGGGAACTCATATATGCTAAAATTTCCGAACTGATACAAATAAGACAGGGAAGAGCTCTCCTTGATCTGCTACATTTTCTACCAGGGAGACGACATATCCAGATTTTATAAAATAAAGAATAAAGAATGAGTAGTTGTAGTATGTAATTTATTTGAAAAATAGTAGTCATATGGTGTTTGTCAAGGTATCAGGAGATAAAAGCAAATGGGCTTACACTTAAGGGGTTCTGTTGCTTAAAGGCTTTTTGAGTTTGTTTTTTACTGCTGTGTAGCATCTCTCAAATCTTTGTGGAAACTCTGATATGTCTCTGAGACTATATTTAAAATGCTAAGACCTGTCACGGAGAGCCGGCAGAGCTGGAGGCATGGAGAGAAGAGGATAAGGGCAAAGACAGGTATTTCTTCCCTTAAATTCTGCATTAGCTGCTACAGCCATCGGTGCAGCTGTTACATGGAAATCAAAGAAATAAAGAAACAGGAAATCCAAGCCCCAGTGGAACCACAGCATGTTCTACCCTTTATAATAATAATAAAGAAAAAGAAACAGAAAAAAGAGTAAGGAGTACAGAGAAAACAAAAAAGCTATGCAGCATTTAAATGTCAGATACTTTATTTGAAAGTATATTTATAAAAAAAAAAAAACTCCAAACATAGATGTATTGGTTAGAAAAGCAAGAGCAAGATTGTATTTCTCTGGCCTATAGCAATGTATGCAGGGATTTTTATGCTGTTCAGCTTCCTTATTGAGATTCAGTGTGTATGGTACTTTATGGGAAATTGTTAAAACATTTTTGGTAATACATAAGCCAGTTGTTAAGTTTCTAGACTACATATCTGTCACCACACTGCCTAGATCTCCCAGAATTTCTTTCACCAACTTTGCTCACCCATCTCCCATCTTCTGCTCCCTTTGGCTTTTTCAGAGGACTTCCCTGGACTACTGGAGGTGTTTCAACCTCAGACTCAAACAGCCTAGAAATGCCAGAGAGTTTACATCCCCCTAGGGTGGCCCATGGTCAATGTCTGATTTTCCAAAGTATGAAAGCCCAGCTCCTGCCTAATATAAATTATATCTTAATATACCTTACACTTCAGAAGTGCCCATGGGATCAGGTTGAGGTTTAGATGGGGCTGGAAATAGCTCCGTGATTGATTTCTGCCCTTCCTTCCCTTGCTTCCTCCACTCCCTTAAGAGTTCTCCTGGAGCACATCTTTAATACATCTCTTGCACATGAATCTTCATCTCAGCTTCTGCTTCTGCAGAGCTCAAAATAAGATAAAATCTTCATCTATGCACACAAACAAGCAAGTATCACCTAAAAATATTTGTCTATGTAATGGGCAAATACATAGATCTTACTATGTCCAGATACCAAAATATCCCAGGGCGGTGGATGGTACAGTAGATAACAATTTAAGTCTCATACACACAGAATACTGTGCTGATAGAAGGAAATAAATAAAATAAATAAGTAAATGCTTTTGTTGAAGAGACAAATGATTACTCATTTTTTTCCTATAACAAAATGGATATTTACAAAGGTTTTCAGTAAAATGACTTTCAAAAAACAAAAAAAAATGGATGGTTTATAGTTAAATGTGATCTATTGAAAAATTCTATATGCTCACATAGTCCATCAATTTGGTAGGTTTTCTTTAGCCTAAAAATCATTTAGACCAGGGGTCTTGTCCCCGGGCCACGGACTGGTACACAGTTCATGGCCTATTAGGAACCAGGCTGCACAGCAGGAGGTGAGTGTCTGGGAAGCCAGCAAAGCTTCATCTGAATTTACAGCCACTCTCCATCCCCCATCACCGGCATTACTGCCTGAGGTCCATCTCCTGTTAGATCAGTGGCAGCAACAGATCCTCACAGGAGCAGAAACCCTATTGTGAACTGTGCATGCCAGGGTTCTAGGTTGTGAGTTCTTTATGAGAATCTAATGCTTGATGGTCTGTCACTGTCTCCCATTACCCACAAGCGGGACTGTCTAGATGCAGGAAAACAAACTCAAAGCTCCCACTGATTCTACATTATTGTGAGTTGTATAATTATTTCATTATATATTACAATGTAATAATAATAGAAATAAAGTGCGCAATAAATGGAATGCTCTTGAATCTCCCAAAAACCATCCCCAATCAACCCTAATCCATGGAAAAATTGTCCTCCATGAAACCAATTCCTGATATAAAAAAGGTTGGGGACTGCTGAGTAGACTATATGGGAAAAAAGTATCAAGTCTATACTAAACTATATTTAAAAATTTTTAGTATGACTAGTTGCTAGCATAATTTTCACAATTAAACCAATTGCTTTACGAAACAACAGTATCATCACTTATATTTTTTGTAGATATGAAAACTGCTTCATCAACCTCATCCACCAGTCACCCTTCTTCTAGTGACAGTGAGGATGAATCTGCAGTGGGGGTCAGGGAAGCCCATGCTGACAATAGTACAGATGAAAGTGCCAGAAGTTCACCTTCTCAGGAGCTGAGTGAACATAATGAGCCAGGAAATTCCCACCTTCCAATTGAGGAATCCTTAGAAATTGAAATTGAAGACCAAGAAATAACAAAAGCAGATGTGGAGACCAAGCCAATGCCAATAGAGGAAAGCTTTGAGAATGTTCTTAAAGAAGGAATGGAGAAAGAAACCCAAGGGATTGCAGAGGGTTTATCTGACAAGTCTCGGAAACTTGTTTCTGCAAAAGAAAAAGAAAAGGATAAGAGCAAGATTTGGGAAGAAAGCACTGCTCAGGTGACGGACAAAAAGGCAGGTCTCCCTGGGGTGGAGGAAGGTGGTAAGTATGGCAGTTAAGTTGAGCTGACATCGTCCTCATGCATGGAAGCTGGTTTTGGTCATTGCATTATGCCAAAGCTTGGGAAATACTATTGTGATGATGCTTCTGGGAGTCAAGATTTTTTCTGTGTCTCTCTTTGTCACATAATCATACATGTATTTTAGCTTGCTGTTTGCTTTCTCTTGCGCTTAAAAAATTACTTGATAATGTCTCTCCAGCCTGTTTCCTATTTTCGGTAAATTCCTTTCTATGGGAATTCCATCTCAAGAATCAAATAAAGCACAGTGTATGTCTGAAGGCAAGAATGTGTGTGGATTTTTAGAGGTTATTTAAACAAATACTATTTGTTCTGAGCTGTATATGGATTTTCAGATATATAGCTAATGTTAATAGGTGCTTATTATGTTCCTGGAATGGTTCTAAACACTTATATATATTAACTCATCCCATCCTCACGAAAGTCCAACCTCCCTCTAAGTTAGGTTCTATCATCATCATTCCTTTCCAGCATCTGTTGTCTTCAGATTTTTTAATGATCACCATTCTAACTGGCATGAGATGGTATCTCAATGGGTTTTGATTTGCATCTCTCTAATAATCAGTGATGATGAGCATTTTTTCATATGTTTCTTGGCCTCATATATGTCTTCTTAGGAAAAGTGTCTGCTCATATCCTTTGCCCACTTTTAAAGGCGTTTGTTTTCTTCTTATAAATCTGTTTTAGTTCTTTGTAGATTCTGGATATTAGCCCTTTTTCAGATGGGTAGATTGCAAAAAAAATTTTCCCATTCTGTTGGTTGCTGGTTCACTGTAATGATCATTTCTTTTGCTGTACAGAAGCTCTGGAGTTTAATTAGATCCCATTTGTCTATTTTGGCTTTTGTTGCCAATGCTTTTGGTATTTTAGTCATGAAGTCCTTGTATTTTTAGTGAGATGTGGTTTCACTGTGTTAGCCAGGAGGGTCTCGATCTCCTTGACCTCATGATCCGTCTGCCTTGGCCTCCCAAACTTCTGGGATTACAGGCATGAGCCATCACGCCTGGCTCACCTTGAAAGTTTTAATAAAGACCATATTTGAGAGACTGTAAAGGTTAAATATAATTTTGAAGGTGGGATACAGGATGATAAACTTGTTTTAGATAGTGGAGTAGAGCAACATATATGACCTTTGAATAAGTTAACAAAAATAACTCTAGAAAAGAGTTTGACATACTTTGGCCCACAGGACAAATCCGAAGCACTACTTTTTGTCTTGTTTTCTAAATAGCCTGCAAGCCAAGAATGGTTTTATACTTTAAAATAGTGCACAAAACCCCAAGAATTTACGAACTGGGACTTTAGAGAAAAAGTTCATCAACCCCTGCCCTAGAATTTTAATGCAAAGACACTGAACACCTTCAAAAGATTTTTTTCATATATAAATCAAGGTTTTAGTTCAAATATATTTGAAACCCTTTTATTAAATAATTCAAATCTTTGATCTTGAATTTCATTATGAAATTCTGGTACATGTAAAGTATCACCTAGAAAATGTGTACAAGCTGGCAAGCTGCTAATCACAAAGGTAGAGGTATTAAACACTGACATTATTTTCAGTTTTAAAATTTTCACTGTATAAAACTAGATTGTTTACCTGAATTTTTGTAAGTAGATTTTTTTTTGTAAAGTAGGATATACATAATGAAGGCCATAATTAGGCTACAGAATATCAGAGATGTGGCACTATAATCATGTCACCTGTCAGACAGTAGTTTTTCTTTTTCTCTGAGTTTGTAAAATGAAAAGTGTATTGGCTTATTACTTTTCTCAAATATATTGGGAAACCTATGTTCTTGATTTGATAACATCTATAATTTTAAAACATTTTGTTATCTTTTTACTAAGGTGGATTCAATACTAGATGGCAAGGTTGGGGACTATTTTTCTTTGTTAAGTTGTAATATATGTGCTATTATTAATTTTTTTATTAACTTTGCACATGGAATGACATTTAAACAATGGAGAAAGTAATTTTGAAAAATTACTCATAGATTTATCACACACAAAAAGATACTTTTAACATTTGGTCAGGCTTTTTATTTATAAACTTAGGATTTATAAAGTTTTGTTGTCATATTTTATAAAATGTAGTCTGTGTTTTATCTTAACATTATACCATGATCATTTTTCACATCTTTAATTATTACGAACATATTTAATCTCTATGTGTTATGTCATTCCGTGGTTTTCTCATAATTTAGCCATTTTCTTATTGTTGAACATTTATATATTTTCTTACTTTCATTACTGTTATTAATACTTTAGTGAATATCTTATTACTAAGATTATTTTAAATTTATAAACATTTTCTTAAGATAGACTTCAATAAGTATAATTTTTGTTCAAAAATTATAGATATTTTAAGGTTTTTGATAAACTTTTTTTAATCACAAAAGTTAGGTTTAAAAGTTTTAACATTACAGAATAGAATAAAGTGAAAGTGAAAGTCTTTCTTGCCCAACCTATATTTTTCTCCAGCAATAATGGTAGACAGCAATTTTTTGTGTGTGTATGATTCCAGAAATTATAGGTAAATATATATATATTCATATGTATATATTACAAAGATACATATATGCATGTTATTTTTATATATAGTTGGAAACATATTATACATTTTGTTCTGAGACTTTTTCACTTAACACTGTATCTTGAATGTCTTTTCACATCAACAGACATCTCTTTTCTTCTTATTCACCTTATCTGTTATTTTTATATTGCCACAGTATTGTATAACTGCACATATTCTTTAAAATATCTTGCCCTCTCTGTAAGAACTCATAGTTTTGTTCTATTGTTCATCTTCCATAAAAGAACAAAATTTGGGGATTGTGAAAACCAGGGAATCTAGAGTCAGGGAATACAAAGCACACTGAAAAATATGACACTAACAGGTAAAACAGAACAAACACCATTTATCATATTCAGAATGATGTGGGAGGATTGATGCTATCAAAATCCTGAGGCTGAGTAAATTATAACAGTTGGAAGGCTACTGTTTTTTAGATATAAATATTCTGGGAAATAAATCAATAAATTCGTTAATAAATAATATATTTAAAAGTAAATAATTTTTATGAATAACAATTTCTAAGAAAATTCCACATAAAATCACAAAATAAGCACATGTGTATATTTCACTTAGATCCCTGACTAGAACCTTAGGTAAAAATGAAAGAATGCCAAGAGAATGTGTAAATAATTGTGTCTCACATTTGTATGGTACTTAATTAATCATTTTTCAGTTATAATAAAAGCTGTGATTATGTTAAAGAATAATCTATGTCACAAATAAACCTATGGGCTAAAAATTATATACGATGAATGCGGTTTTATAGACTCTAAGCTAACACAATTTAAATTGAATTGTTTTTACTTGAGCTCATAGAAGCGGATAAATGAGTAAAGTATAGCCATTGCCTTCATACCTTTAAGGTTGATTGCATAAAATGATATTTTCCTTCTAACTACTTCATAGTCTGTCTTATTTAATTGGACTTTGTCCAGTCCATCAACAAATCAGATGAATTGAATAAAAGATGTGCTGCCCACAGTGAAGCAGATAAAGTAAAAGATTATAATTGCTAGCTACAGTAAGACAGTGTTCTTGGGTGTTAATCCGGTATTACAGGGCATAGTGTCATTTTAATGTTTATTTTCTTTCTGTTATTTTCAGCTTAAACCGTTGTAATGCATTGTGACACAATCTTGGCAATATGTTCTAATAGTGGAATAACTCAAGTGCATTAATTTGCGAAGTTAATTTAATTTATACATCATAAATATAAATGAACTAAGAGTAATGTATTTTAATGTAAATTAGAATGTAAAATGCATATGGAAGTAAACAGTTTTTATTTTTGTATGTGAATCAGGAAAAGTCATAGTGCTTGACCAGGCAATTTAAACTTAAATAATAGTATAACTAATATGACATGCAATTTTGTCATCAGGCAGGCAAGATAAAATGGTCCTGATGAAAGAACACAGAAGTCAAGTGTTATGAGTTGAGGTCCAAATACAATTTCTGAATGACCTATGGAAGCCTGTACTTGTTCTAATAGACCTCTTCGGTCAGTAAATATTTGCTGAGAATATGCTTTATGCCACACACTGTCCTCAGTGTGAGCATAACAGTCCCTTTCCACATCAATTTTATGTTCTAGGAGGGAGATATGCCTACCAAGTGAAAAATAAGCATGTGATAGGGTATCTGGGCTAAGTGATAGAAGGAAAATGAAGCAGGGTAAGGGGATAATAGACTGATGGCTTGAGGGAGGGGTGGTATTTTAGGGATGGCTTCTGAAATGATAGGACTTCTGAACAGAGATGAATGAAGTGCTGAGGGAGGCCACTCAGTCATCTGTAGAAAGAACACAGGGAGCGGGGGGTCCAGCAAGTGTGATGGCCCCAAGTTGGGAGCGTAGTTGCCGAATGAGGGATTTGGAAAGGAGGTCAGTGTGACAGGAGCTGAGTAAACAAATGAGAGAGTAGTACAAGATAAGGTCGGAGGAGGAAACTCATAGGTCATGCAGAGGAATTTATTCTGGAGTTAAGAAATCTTTCCTCTAGAAAGATGTGAGTCTGCAATAGTGTGATCTGATCATTTGGAGAAGATTATGCTGCCTATTATATGGAGGATAAACTTCAGGTTTCTTTGCAACTGTCTTTGAACAGCTGTGGTCTTCAGTTGTAATTAATCCTGGTATTTTGTGGGCCATGTGTCAATGTCAAAGTCACCACAAGAACATCTTCACTGTGTAGGTAGATGATGTTAGTCATGAACTTTGTCATAGCAAGTTGTTGGGAAGATCATCGACTGGCTACACAAAGATTGATTAGAGCATAGGTATACTTTTCAAGGTGTCCAGGAACTTAGAAAAAGTTTGGGAATATTTCTATGATGTTTTTATGGCCTTCTTACATTCTTTTTTGTTTTTTTTTTTGAGACAGAGTCTTG